AGGTTCCTACTTACTGCAAGGTAAACACAGGCTTGTGGAGTAAGGAAACTTGCTCAACATTTCGCCCTGCCGGGAATAAAACCCAGGTCTTTCTTGATCTGATTTACTTTACTGTGAGGAGACAATAAGCAGAGACTCATCAATCCCCCACATAGAGTCAGCAAGGACCATTCATGCACATTATGTGCACTTTCAGAGTGATACAGCAGAGGCCTGGGAACAGGATGCCCACTCCTTGGACAGAGGTGCCATGTGCTGTGGAGAGATTCAATTGGGGAAAATTGTTATACTTTCAGCAAAATACAGTAATCCAAAACTATTGAGCAACTCACCTCTGATCTGAAAATAAAAAAACTGCAATCTAATAGTAGTAATGAACTCGTCAAAGCTTGCACTGCTGAGGGATATTTTTGTAGACGAAGGTGATTTCATTCTTTCCTTTTATTTGTTCACTCTAGATTTCTTAAAATAACAGTATTGATGCAAGTCTTTCATATAGTAAACTACATTTAATCATTGTACTTGTAACTCTTTGCAGGCTAGTTGAAGAGATATGACCTTTGTGAATATTTGTGGCATGTTTGTTCTACTTTATAAAGGTCATTCCTTAACCATTTTTTCCACTGTATCCTTTATTAGTGAGCAACTAAGCAGATCTGAAGAATGGCTGGAGCTTTGTTTCCGAATCCTTTGTCCCAGTGAATCAGAGTTCAATATTTCCAAAACAGACTGGTTACCAAGCACACTGGGGAGTTTTATAAAGGGAAAACACAGATATTCAGGGAATTAAACTTTTTTTGATGCAGTGTTAATATTAAGAATACGAGCATGTGATAGCACAGAAATGGTCCATTCAGCCAATCAGGTCTGCGCTGTTGTTTTTCTCTTAATTTGCCTTAACTTAGTGAGTATAATATGCCACAGGGGCAACAATGCTTGTTGGTTCTGTTTCATACATTATATTTTAAATACTATATCATTTATAGTATAAAGGCATCACTAATAATTGGTCTCAATGCCCAAGGTTAGGAAAGGGACAGTCAGCTTGGGCTCCCATTGCTGATAACTGGAAAGTGCGTGTGTGTGGATGGCAGATGTAATTAGATCTGGCTTGACTGATATGTTCTCAACAGTCAAATTCCCTGTCAACATTCACTGTCGAGGCTCACACTGCATTCAATTTGAAGTGGTAGCAGAAGGCTACTACAGCCTAGGATCCAGATCCTTGCAAAAAACGGTGCCTACAGAAGGGAGTTCAGGAGAAATTTTGCAAAACAAAAATTCCAGATCTGCAGGAGACTCGAGGAGAGAAGGAATGTTTGCCCTCAGTATGACAAAGAGGGGAAAGAATTTCTAGAGGAGCTGATAACAGAGACTGGGGTAAATGATCCAGATGTGTTCCAAACGAGTTGCTGTTTGATGTGGTGTGTATTGTGACTGCTGAAATTGGGGTTATGACTCAACGAGTTCAATAGTTCAGAATTGTTCTCACTTCGTGTTTGGTTGGAGATATTAGCATGGATTTACATTCAAGCTAATCCACAAACATTATTTGATTCAGTGATACCTATGCACAACCAAAACCATGCATGCAAAACTTTACTGGACACTGGCTAAGTGAATGTAGGACTATTTGCTGCAATAGCACTGCAATAGAACAAAACCTGGACTGTAGACCATGAAAAACGATAAAGGATTTCAAAGAAAGCCCTTGTTTGCTTAAGGTAGTGCATTCACCCAAATCTGACAATTTGCATAATTGGTTAATGTTTTGAGTGAAACAGACAGCACATTAACTGCAATGCATAGTTGCGAAACCCAATTGTGTAAAGTATTAGCGACTTATTTGTCCAATTTTTGGTGAAAACTGGACTTTGTTAAAACATCGCTGACATTGCATCACCTTAGATCATAAAAAGAAATTGTGCATTTCCATTTATTCCCATCCTCACATCTTTTCTTGTCTTCTTCCATGCTGTGATTATCTATAGTTCTATCCATTCCTTAAGACGTTGCTTCATTTTAAAGATTGGTGCTACAAGAAAGAGCAAGTGGTGGGCCCCATGCATGTCAGTGTTTCAGGTGGCCATTCATTATGTGTAGTTCTAGGCATTGTCAAGAGGATCATAGGTTAGTCTGGCTAGTCTTCACTCCCTATTACCAACATGCTTTGATCAAGAATCTAGGTTGATTTTTTTCATTCTTTAGACCAGTGACACCGAGCACAAATGTGTTGCAGTGCCCCAATACAAATCACCCAGAACTCCCACACAATGTCATTGTTTCAGTGCCATACATTACAGTAGAATTAGAGTTTCACCCACAACTATACAGTCAATTCACTTTACAGCATATTCTGTGAAGCGCTTTGAGACTTCTGGAAGACGTGAAAAGCGCTATATCAAATGCAAGGATTATTATTATGGAGTAGATAGCTATAATAATAATATAATAATCCTTGCATTTGATATAGCGCTTTTCACGTCGGGAGGACGTCCCAAAGCGCTTCACAGAACACACTGTAAAGTGAATTGACTGTATGTATTTGTGGGCGAACGCGGCAGCCAATTGCGCACAGCAATGTCCCACAAACAGTCGTAGATTGAAAATGACCAATTTATTATTGTTTTTGGTTTTGGAGGGATTATTATTAGGCTCTGTGTGGAGTAAGGAAACTTGCCCAAGGTTTCACCCTGATCTGTCGGGAATTGAACTCAGGTCTCTCACTTGCAAAGCGAGTGCTCTAACCACTGAGCTACAGGACTCCACGATCATATAGTATGATTTGAGCATGGGTTTGATATAATTGAATACATAGTCCCCTACTATGCTGAAGTTTCTATAATGCTGGCACTAAAACCTTTCTGGACATCTGTAATTTGTTGTTGTAATCGGAAGTCAACTCAATAATAATAATAGTAAAAATAATAATCCTTGCATTTGATATAGCGCTTTTCACGTCTTCTAGACATCTCAAAGTGCTTCACAGAATATGCTGTAAAGTGAATTGACTGCATATTTGTGAGCGAAACGCAGCAGCCAATTGCGCACAGCAGTGTCCCACAAACAGTCGTGGATTGAACATGAACAATTTATTTGTTCATTTATTGACAATGATAATTGACAATGGGACCTACAATGTGTTTAAAAAGAACACTTAACAAAGGATTGAAATCTAATTTGAGGGATTCGGAAAAGGATTTGTAAATTTGTAAACCAAACTCCACTTGGACACTGATTTCTCCTGGGAACTTGCTTTGGCACCAAAGGATTCAGGAAAGTTGGAAATGAATGCTGGTGTCTGAGCTCCATGCGGTCAGTTTTACACAGATTTGAGTACATGCTGGATTCAGTATTTTGGTGTCCATTTATCAATAGTGTAAATTTCACCTCAATGGCTCTCTCTTGAAATATTCTTTTTAAATATGCTTGAGGACTCATTGAGAATTTGGAGTAAGACAAGAGGGTACATCTTATGATCACGAAGATCAGAATGTATTTTGGATTCAAAGCGAATCAAGTCTGTTTCATAAACACAAATTAAGTAGTTTTACTATCCTCCTTTGGGGGAGGTATGCAGGGTCACTTTGGAGCTGAACTGGCTCCAAGGTGACATGTTTGGCAATGGAATATCAGAATCGAGCCAGCCCTCTGTTGCGGTCTCGGTAGTCCAGTTCCTGAACTATCCCATGTGGCTCATCAGCAGGACTTAGAAGGGCAAACTGGTCACCGGGGGCAGGGATCCTTCACTGCAGGCCAAAGCCCTAATGGGTAGGGCGGTCTTAGCTGAACAAGTAGTGGGACATTTGCCAGACAGTAATATGAATGGCAAGCTATGCAGAGTTTTTTTTAGTTTTAGCTGGTTTGACTCCAGCAGTATCCCAACGCACACACTGAATACTCAAACCTCGGCACTTGCCAACCGGTGCCTATTAATTTCCGGAATTAGGTAAACAGGACACATCTCTTCAAGGAGAGAGAGCGCATTCCATTCTAAAAAATACAGTCAAACCTGTCTTCAACAACCTCTCAGGAGAATGGGCCAAAGTGCCCTCTATATAAGGGTGGCCTTTGAGTAAGGGTTTGATGGTGTGAGATCTGGGCTGTCCCAGCTGTTTGTTGATAGGGAATGGTCGTTGAATGAAGGTGGTTCCTTGAACGAGTTTGACTGTATCTTGGGAATTTCCATCTGTTGATGGGATGCATGGAGTTCTCAGTCTGGGTTAGACACTTTTAAGCATGGCGATGAGTCAGACACCTTGCTGACAAAAAAATAAACTGGATGCAATCTGCCTAAACAGTATTTTGCACAAATTCAACATCACTTCCTTGCTCTGTAATCAGTGCTGCTCTGCGTTCAATGCTGCTCCATATGCAGCTTGTAATTCTGATTGCCAGTTTTTGGTCTTGTCTATTTGCTCTCCTACCTATCTATTCTTACTCCTAATTCTCCATGGTCTACTATTCAATTAAGAATATTACCATACAGGATTTGTTTTTGCTCTTGTGAAAATGTTTTACAGTAGAACCCTATGATGCATCCCAAAATTTATTTACCCAAAACACCAACTTTGCATTTATTTATATTTATATATGTATATATAAACCACATTTTAAAATATATATTTATATAAAAACTCAAATGCAACCACCAGCTCTAATGGTGCTTCAAATTTCTGGTTAGCACAGGAAGTAATGTTGGGGTTACTCTACCCAGGAGGTTGACAGTGTTATCTTCCCCTCACTGGCTGGTGTTTTGTTGTGCCAGTAAAGCTGACTGATTTCCTGGAGCAAGTGCCATAAATGGTCATCATATTATAACAGATCTCTGCTTTACATAGCATTTCTCTACATTGATTTTGATCTGCCACTACCTGCTTACTCCACTATCCTGTCTATGGCTGGAGTTACTACGACTGTTGTCATGTGAAAAATGTGATTCTACATTTGTGCACTTATTATTCAAAGGTTTTTTTATTATTGGCTCCTTTTTCTTTCAGAAAAAAAAGAGAACCAGGGAGTTATCGCAGCTGTTTCAGTCGTATTCCCCATATGGTCACAAGGTAAGATGGCGGCAATGTACAGTATATTGTATATATTAGACCGTACAGAAGAAAGGGTTTCCAGTCTGTTCTGTTGTTGTTGTTGTAAGGATTTACATGATCATAATGCAAGTTTTGCCTAGCTTGGGCATCAGTTGGGCATAGTAATCCATATGCATTTTACGGAAGCTAAAGCCATGAAAGATTTGCAAAATAATCCAGTGATAACTGCTCTTCTTGTGTGCTGTGCTGGCCATAGTAGTGCATCAAAATGCTGGTAGGTGCATTTTTTTATATAAATATACAAATATTATATATTTATAAATATATACATGTATACATTTAGTTTTTTTTATAAATATAATATGCTGAGAGCTAGCCAGTCCATGCCAGAAACAACAGCGAACTGACAATGGCCATTTTCTGTTCAGTCTCAGCAAGAACCAATTTATACTTAGCAACTTAACCTCCAAAGCACTGTACCGCTGTGACATTTTTCATATTCACTTACCAGCCATTTTCCAACTGATCTTACAAAGTCCAAGTATGTAGTGCCACATTTTGGACAATGTTATGCTGTCGGCTTACATTCACTGAGAATGGAGTTGACACTTACAGCTGGCAGAAAGAAGAGACTTAAATTCCATCAGTCTGCCCCAGATCCCAGAGGCTGAAATAACAGTCTGCCAACCTATTGAGTCACCCAATCCTGACATTGTGATATTTCAAATCTCATGGCTCAGTTAGAATGTGTTGTTAACAGTGGGGTCTTTATATTAAAAAATATTTTGAGCCTGGAAGAAGTGGGCGGGAACAGTGGGAGCCATCCGAGTACAGAGAACAAAAACAGTCATTTTTTAAAAGTAACATTACCATCGAGAAAAATCAATGGAAAAATAAGCAAAATTGAGATCTTTCGACATGTGTGATGATTTTAATTTTAAAAAAATGCATCAAACATTGACGTTGTGGTAACCAAATCCAGTGTTACTGAGCTGGTTTTGTGGTCATGCTTGCATCAGGAAGAGCACTTCATTTCAACGGCTACAGTTGTTGAAGTGGCTAATGAGGTTAAGAGCATGCCCAGACCTGTCTTATTACATACTGCCTGGTTATTTGGGTCCTCAGTCATGCTGAAAAACTGGTGTTTGAAGGTCAACTGAGGTCCTGCAATTTGACACGTCAGGATCGCCAGTGGATTACCGAAACGCTGGTTACTGGAGAAAAGAGATCATGTGCTTCTTCGGTTCCTTCCACTGACTTGCCTCAGTGGCTGTTTCCATGAATTCTGTATTTAACTTCCTTTCACTTCAATACAGATCATTAACTCGGTGCCTGTTACCGTTCTTGAAGGTGGTTCTCTTGATTACTAAATGCCTTCAGGGCTTCAGTGCCAGGCGGGAATTCTCACTTGCGCACAATAAAATATAAAAGACTGAATGCTGTATATGAGAGAAAAAAGGGATTGCAAGCATCTCGACTGGGCCCAGTATTACTCCTGACGCCTGGGTTGTATTCTGAGGGTATCCAACAGATGACTTGCCATTGTGGGATAACCCAGAGAAAAGGGGACATCTGACTTTGATGCATCCGTGGCAAAGCCATGTTGCCACTTGACTTTGCAACTGACTTTGTTGTCTGATTTTCTTTGGTCAGCAGAAACCTTGCTTGAAAGTACCCAAACCAGAGTTCTATGCCTGACACCTATACGTGGAAACTCCCACATATTGGAATTGAATGCGCACTCTCCAAGGCTTGGGGACCCAGGAGTGTGCATTGGTGGTACTGCTGGCGTCTAACCAGCTAAAACGGCTCAGCTTGCTACTGAAAGCACTGACAAATTAAAAGCTTCCTGCTGCTGATCCAGCGAGGACCACCCTACCCATTCGGGATTTCACACAGAGTTAACGGGAGCCGAATGAGAAAAATCCCTGCCCCAGTGACTAGTCTGCCCCTCCAAGTCCCTCCTCGCCTAGAATGAGTATTTGCTTCTAGCCCACCACCACCACCACTTCCACATCACCCTCCCAAAGTGAGAATACAAAAAAATGGATCGAGTATGGTATGGCTTTTACTCGATGCATTTTACCATCCACTCTGCATTCTTGGTTGATATTACACCAGCCGGAGTACATGATTCCTATACAAATGCTAAGTGTCAAGTGCTAACAATTCATTCCATTCTGACATTTAAATCGTAATTTTCAAAAACCTTTCTAAAGTTCAAGCTTTTTGAGGAGAAATTAGTTTTTTTTCATTTGGATTTTCAATGTGCAAGTATTCCATTTATTATCTGAAATATCTCAAGCGATGTATTCAGGAACCAATTTTGCTTCCCAGTGTTTGATCTACGTAGACATTTGCTCCTTATGGTATAAAGTGAAATAAGATACAGTCCGCATCAAGGTGTCTCTAGGATTTTTCATGTATAAATTCAAGATCCTCATCCTCACCTACAAGGCCATTCACGGCCTTGCACCCTCCTACCTCTCCGACCTACTATCCCCTATGTACCTGCCCGTACCCTCCGTTCCTCTGGCTCCGGTCTGCTCCACATCCCCCGCCCCAACCGCCCTACCATCAGTGGCCGGGCTTTCAGCCTCTCAGCCCCTAGGCTCTGGAACTCCATCCCCCAATGCCTTCGCCTTGCTTCCTCCCTTTCCTCCTTCAAGGCCGGTCTCAAGACCTTTCTCTTCAATCGTGCCTTCAGCTCCCCTCTCGACTCTCTACCCCCTCCTCGCTCCCTCCCTTCCCTCCCCTCACCCTGACCATTTCCCTCCTGCTTGGATCACGATCCAACTGTCCAGCGCCTTGGGACGTCCTCCCGACGTGAAAGGCGCTCTATAAATGCAATCTTCTTGCTGTTGTTGTTGTAAATGGTTCGCTATGACTCACACCAAATTGTACTGGCACGACTAATGGTCAAAAGTTAGCTCAATGTAAAATATACTTCTCGCACTTAAAATTTAAGGTGCTGGGAGTTATGAGGCTTGGTTTCAAGTGTGAGAAGTAAATTTTACTTTGTGTTAACTTTTGACAATTAAATGTTTAGGACTACTTAGTTGGATGTAACCCTAAGAATGTTACACCCTTTTTATATTACCCATTCAGCATCTGGAAATGTGGTGTGAAGGAGAAGGCAGCCCTCTATTTCAGTACTTTTGGGATGTTAACTTACATTGTAAAAACCTCAGTCTGGCAGAAATCTGGCTATCTGCTGTTCTTGAGCACTCGATCCGCCATAAATCACTGATCCAAATTTAAATTGAGTCTCGCCAAATCTGATGCTGGCAATATTAGCTGCTGTACATTGCTTTATTCCTCCTGACATGGGCTGGATACAAACCAGTAATGTAACAGCAGTACTGGACTCACCATGGGTGTCGCAAAGAAAGCAATGCAAGAGTGGTATAGCAAAGGGACTTCTATTTGGACAAAAGGCTAATCTCAGAACAAATGACTGAACAATGTGAAATTTGAGCATACATTTCACAATCATGAAACACAAGCCATTTTATATTATTGTATACAACATAAATATTTCCTGGGGTGAGCTGTTTTCAGAAAGAGTTGGGGAGCTAGATTGCTCTGACCACTAAATATCGAGACTTTGCTTCTCTATGTTTATAATAGGAGGCTCAATAGTAGATTGGAGGGGCATGATTCAACATGAATCGTATCAAAGAAAATCATTCAGTGAGTGGAGCCTTTATTAAACAGCAGTAATAATAATAGTTAGATAATAATCATCAGCCACTTCTGCACAGATCAGCTTGCCAATTCCTATAAATTGCGGGACTGAACATTATTTTGAACTTTATGTAATAATAATAATCTTTTCATTTAGTATAGTGCCTTTCACGTCTGGAGAAAGCACTTCACCGGATATACAAACAATTTGTGCAGAGTTCCACAAACAAGTGAATGACTGTTTTTTTATTTTGGGGGGATTGTTGTTTGGGAGTATTCAGCATACCCTAATACAAACAAAATATCATTTACATACTCATGAATTTCTAATTTGTAGGCTTGTGTGTTTCAGGAGCAAGTTGGTAGACACTGCAATTGCAGAGTTGTAATCAAGAGCGGTTATAAACTTCAAGCAAACCTTATTGTTCCAAGTTTAATATTAAAAGCAAATTAGCTTTAGATTCTAATTCATACCAATCTGAAGCCCATTTTTCTTCTGGTTCATGAAACCTTCACAGGATAGTTGAACACCAACATATAAGTGAAAACAGTGGATGTCACAAGCTTGACTTTTAGCACCCAGCTGGTGTCTTTAAAGTATAGGGGGTAATCCAAAGAGCAATGGAATCCCCCCTTCCCAAGGTAATTTTAGGTGCACAGTGGAATAACACTCTCAGTATAGAATTGAAAATAAATAGGATACGAACATCGGGCCTTGAGGTTTAACTTTAGAAATTTAACTTTAGAAATAGGAATTTCCCTGATGTACCAGAAAGTATATATATGCTCCCCCGCCTCTCCACCCCCAGCAACATTCTCAATATTGCCCTTGAAGCCAGGTCGTGAATGTAACAGTCAGTGGCATGGGGGCTTTACTTTCAATTTTTTTTAACCACAAAGGTGCAATCCCACGTATCATAAATCAAATGATCTGCGATGTCAACGGTAAGAGTGCTTCCTCTGGAAGGTGGGGTGGGGGGAAGGGGAGGGTTAGAGGGCCTGGGTATTCATGTTAAATACTTTATGAATTTCTACACTTAAATTATGTTTTTTTATGGCAGTTTGTGTGACATTGCTGTGTGCAAATAGGCTCCGGCATTCACCCACAAAAACATACTACACAAAATCACTATATTTTACAGTGTAGCACTTTGAAATGTCTTCCTAACGTGAAAGGCACAAAACCAAATATAAGGATTTTTATTATTTATTGTTGTTGTTGCCAGAAATGGAGTGTAGTGTTTTGAGGTAAAAGGTATCCATAAGGCAGTAGTCAAATGTTACTCTCTGCTGTTAACAACAGAAAGGCTGCATTGCATGCTCAACCATTG